TAGATAGATAGATAGATAGATAGATAGATAGATAGATAGATAGATAGATAGATAGATAGATAGATATCAAAAACAATTCCAGGACCAGGTTCAGAATCTGCCACAAAAATTTGTTGATACTTCAGAGCAAAGAGGGACTTTTGTTTTACATTTTTTAGTGTGTGTGGAGGTACGATAGGTGAGGGGACAACTTGCAAGATTCTGTTCTCATTTTACCATTTGAGTCCCCAGGATTGAACTCTGGTCATTGACAGTTAATATGCTTACCCACTGAGCCCTCTAGCTGGACCCCTTTCTGTATCTTCTTCAGCCAGGGTCCCTCTCTAGCCCTGGCTGATCTGTAACCCCAGCTGCTGCTCCTACCTTAGCCTCCAGTGCTGATTACACTTAGCTTGAAGTCTTCTTCCACTACCCACGAGTTTACTGAGACTACCAGTCTCATAGGAGCCCTTGGTGCCGTATTAGATTGTCAACGTTGTTCTCCCAACACATTTTCTTTCTGTTTCAGGCTCGAAAACACCTTGCCCAGTTTTGATCCCTTCAAGACTTCGCCACAGCCTCTATCACACATCTGTTTTCCTCAAAGAAAAAAATATATATAATAAAATGTGTTTTACTCTTTTACACTGTATAATTTTAAGAAATATGTGTTATTTGTGAATGCATGGTCTGACATTTCTGTACAGTTTGGAGACATATAGAACAAAGGCATCAGTAAAATGCAAGACAGTTAGTATTTTTATAACAGACATTTTAAGTGTGGAAGGATGGAAACTTATACTAGGTTAGATAATGACTTCTGCGCTTGGTTTTTGAATGCTTTTAATGGTGTTTATCTTGTTTTTCTTACGAAATAAGCTGCATGTTTGAGGCATGTCTCTAAATAGCATCAAAGTTTCCACGGTTGTGTTGTGAGTGTGTGGACTCCATCTGCCTGGCATATTCGTAACATGGTGTAGACATGAGCTTCTGCAGTATTAGCTCCGTAATCCTGCCTCCCAGGGATCTCCCTGCAAGACAATCAGTGCCCCCAAGAGCATCTGCTATCATAGTATATTCACAACTGGGAAAAGACTACTTAGGTAATGCCTCCTGAGCATGGTGCACCATCTGAAATTCATGGCAGCTCTGGCTGCAACTATTCTAACTGTGCCAAGTAGCGTATTGCCATTTTATACTTATATTTATTCTTACCATTTATGAGCACCTTCAGAGCGTGTGACCTAATATACCACTCAGCTTCCATAAATTGTTCCCACTTCCCCAGTGGAACAGTAAGGTCCACCTCACTAAGTGGAGGGACCATGGTTTGGAGGCAAACATGGCCACAGTAGGAGCAGGCTTTGCCCAACCCAGGCTGCTATGGGCATCACATCTCTCTCAAGTGATTCAGCAAAGCACTGGCCTACCTGAGCTGCTGTGCTATAGTCTGGCAGCTGTGTCAGATACACCGTCCATCACATTCTCTGGATCACTGTGTGTGCATCTTGAGACTACCTAGCATTGCACAGGGCGGGACAAGTAACCGTGGCCAATTTGCAATGAAAGCTGTTACCTTTGCTTCAAGACTTCAAATCCCAGAGTCAGTCTTGTGTTGTATGCCAACACATTTTCAGAGGCTGTGACAGCACAGGTTCTCCCGCTCCTCAGACAAGAGCCATGTGTAAGACTATATTGACCTCAGAATTCCCAGCTGCTGATACAGCTAGACATAATCACAATCTTTGTATCTTTGTTATTGATCTGCTTGTGTTGTTTTGAAAAAGTCATGTTTTAATGATTATATCAATGGTTGGGGGGTTCATTATTTTTCTTTAGAAATAAAAATGTCAAGTTTTTAAAGGTTATTAAAAAGAGAAGCGCCAAGGCCTGCAGTAAAGGCCTTTTCACTATGAACTAGAGTAAAGGGGGCAGGCAGCCCCTGAGGACATAGACATCCACGTTGGTGCTCAGGAACTGCTCATGCCCTCAGAACCATTGGCTGTGAGACTCCTCTATTTGCTTTAAAGAGAGCTACTTCACCATCGATTATGCTTTTATAAATTGTGTAAAGGTACTTTTCTATTGTTGTTTTTAAAAAAAAAACAATAAAGTTTATCCCAGCTATTACATGATTGTCTGACAACTTACTCACAATGCAGAGATTTCCATTTCCAGGCTGAGGCAGACTGAGTGAGACCTATCACACAGAGTGTGAGAGCCAGGTGTCACCAAGGGATCCACACACCTGGGCTTCCTTTTACTCGGTTCAGTGGGTACCAACCACCCTCACCTACAAAGTCTGAGCTCAAAATTATTAAGATTTGTCAGGCATAATGGCATGCACCTTAAACCCCAAGAGGCAGACAGATCCTTTGAGACTGAGTCCAGCCTAGTCCACATCATGAGTTCTAGGACAGCCAAAGCCAAACAATGAGATCCTGTCTTGGGTGGGCGGGGGAGGCTGCCAGATGCTGTTGGGAATAGATGGCTCAGAAGTTAGGAGAGCTTCCTGTTCTTGCAGAGGACTGGAGTTAGGTTCCCAGCACCCACATCTAATGACTCCCAGAAGCGACTTGAGGTCCTTGGCTACACAAGTTTGCTCTATGGAACAAACTGATCATGTAGCTTTGCCTTCAGCCTACTTGTGAGGTTCCACACAGCTCTACGGCACCAGAGGCTACCACACAGCTTCACTAATGAACATCACTACCTCAAGCTACTGCCATCTTAACCAGTCACTTATGTATGCATTTTCCACAAGAGGCCTTGGGATGTGCTGAGAGTAGTTATGTGCATGGGGTGTCCCGATCCAGTACAAGCCCGATATGTGACCCCTGACCAAGCAGTTAACACCCAAGGCAGTACCTTTCTCTAGAAATGTCTGTCACTCACTACTAGCAGAAATGAATATAGGGCCTCTGGGAACCAGTAACTTTGGTTTAGGAAAGGACACGTTGGTTTATTTGCTTACTCTTGATCCCTTATAAAAAGGTCTCACTTACATAGGCTTAAAAAGAATGGTAAGTGAGCCAAATGGACTCTCCCAGGAATATAGGACTAACTATAAAACTAGCAACTAGAATTAAATATCACCCTGAACTAAATTACAACTTAAGGTGAGCATTGAGAATCTTAAGTTTCCAAATGAGAATACTCGTAGTTAATCACAAGAGCACGTAAGACACTGGACCTGTGTTTGTATGTCTGCCCACATCATATGAACTCTGTAACTAGTACTGCCCCATTCCAACATAGCATCCTTAGTTATGTGGTACAACGAACATCCTTAGTTAGCCAGACATGGAGGTGAAGGTTCATAATCCCAGCACCAGAAGGATAAACCAGGAGGACTGCAAGCATTACCTGAGAAAGCACAGCCAACAATCTGAATTCTGCATCTCAATAATTGAGATTTCTTGTGTCTATGACAAGACAACAGAACCCAGGTGACTTCTGAGAGCTTGGGCAAGACAGGCTCAATGCTAGAAATACAGACATTAAATACTCCTGCACTCCTGACCACTGAGGCAGCCAACCACTAAGTGAAAATAGTCCCTCTTCCCTGGTTTAAAAGCACAATGGATGTTCTCTTCCTCTTTTAACTTTTTTTGTTGAGGAGGAGTTTGAGACAGGGTTTTTCTGTGTAGCCTTGACTGTCCTAGACTCGCTTTGTAGACCAGGCTGGCCTCAAACTCACCACGATCCACCTACCTCTGCACCACCATACCACCGCCACCTCTTTAACTTTTAAACCAGGGTATATTCTATATGACAAAACAATTTACAACTTTCTTGGAAGAGTAGAGAATGTCAGCAACTAGTGACATGTTCTCTGAAATACTAGTCCTTCAAAAACGCTTAAAACTTTTAATGACTTAAAACTACATGCAGTTCTCAGTTTGATTAAAGTTCCTATCTGTCACCCCTGAAGAACACACAGACAGGATTAACATTACCAATACTAACCCTTGGTCAACTGCCCTGCTCTGGCTAGATCCAAAAGTTTCAAAAGAAGCCATCATGCAAGAACTGTTTCATACTTTCCTCCTTTGTAGCCTAGTGATACCAACAAGTTCTCTTTTACTGATGGACCTCAGGAGATAAGCCAGACTAATTTTCTACTTTACTGGGGGAGGAGGGGAGTCTCATAGCTTAGAACTGTCTGTAACACTAAGATCTGATGACACCTTCACACAGACATACATGCAGGCAAAACACCAATACACATAAAATTAGAAAGTACTTATAAAAATGAATTAACTTAAAAAAAAAAAAAAAACACCAGTGAAGCAAGCCTTTCAATTTAAAAAACAAAACAAAAACCTCCCCCAGAAGCCTTTGTTTCTACTGTTCTATGCCCTCCTCACTTAGAAACAAGAAACGTGATGCAGATTAGAAGGGCACAAGCCTATGATTCCCAGCATTCATGGAGCCGAGGCAAGAGGTAGAAAACTCAGGATCAAGGCACTACAAAGTCAGGCCCATTCCCATACCTAGCCCCAGTGAGAAACTTGACTGGTCAAATGCCTAAACTTCACCTAAGTTGTTTTCTTTTGAACAAAAACAGGCCTAAATGCAACTTGAAGCAATGTTCAAACTGAAATATTTACCTGGGCAAAGGAGATTTTACTCCTACAAGTACTTAGAAAACACGTTCAGTGTCTCACAACAGTCAAGTGCAAAAGTAAACCTGTTTTTGACATTTTTAGACCTGGACTTACTGAATTCAGGCTGTTTGTTTTGTCCTAGGGATTGAACCCAGAGCCGTGTGCATGTAGTGTTCTGGTCAGGTGAAAAGTCATTGGCCTTTCACCAGTCTTGAAAGCATGAAGTCATAGGAGTGTGCTAATCAATTACAAGCCAGTAGGGCTGGGCCATACTGCAGCCCGTACTTCCAGAGGGCCCTCTGTCAATCTGCTAAAGAGGGAGGTATTTCTCCCATGCAAGTATTGGCCATGCCATATCACACCCAGCTTCCAAGATAAGATATGTTTAAGGTGTCAAGGGCCAGCCATACACAATGGCTTTCTGAAGAACAATGTGCTTTTCATCTAGAACAAGGAGAGGGGCAGTGATAGAGTGTCAGGTCCTAGTCTGTCTTTCCAAAGCATGTGCTCTCTAGACTCACAAGACAGGCCAGAGTCAGCTGTTCCAAATTAGTCTGAGGGGGTTTCCAGGTTCCCACAGATCCTCCCTTTTTCGTGAACACCTACTAATCTCTCGGGCCAGACCCACTGGGAAACAAGGAACTGTCCTACATGCAGCTCCAAAGACAGCAAATAGACAAAAGGTCATCACTGGTCCCCTGGCACACACTAGGCTCAACTAACAACCGTCATCAAAACTTGATTAAAAAAAAACAACAACAACAATCTAACCAGAAATGATTGATTTCAAAGTAAAAACAGTAACTAGAAACAAAAAAGGACACTAAGTTTCATCTTCTCTGCCTTAGATAACTGCCATTACAACAACTGGGAAATTCATAAATCCAACTGTATTGTCCCACATAAGTGCCTACCTTCAGAACATGCTTCTGCTCTAGTGATTTCAAACAAAGGCTCAGAAGAGAAATGCAGTGCTGTACATCCACAGGCTCCCCAGAAGTACAGGGACTGAAGTTCCTGCATTGCCTCCCCCTACTCACATCAACAGTATTGAGTGTTTCTTCATCCCCTGGGTCCACCCATCATCTGACCACATTTACAGGCTGTGACAGCAGCAGCCAAATGTTCACTTTTTAATACTTTATCTAAGTTGAACTGTGTTTCTCTTAGCTAGTCCTAAAAGCCTCCTGTGATTGTGATGAATTATAGATCAGATGCACTGACGACTGTCTCAGCCTTTTAACTCTCCCAACCGTGCCCATTCCCACTTGTTTCTAAGTGGCAGCAGTTCTGGCAGAAACAGGCCGAGGTGAGACCAAGACTTCAACTTGGAATTTCTGAAGGAATGTCTTTAGTCACCCAGAAGAACTGCTGTCAGAATCCTTTCTTTATTACAGCCACTGAACTCCACCAGGCTCTCAAGTTTCCCACAGAGACTATCTACTCCCCATACATCACCCAGTGATGCAGTCCCCGCACTTCAGCAGAGACTACTCATGTAGGCTATAGGCCAAGGGAAACAATGCTTGTAAGACAATGCAAGTGAATAAAACAAAATTAGTCAAGTTACAAGTTTGGCAACCAATGAGACTTTAGTTTCTTCATTTCTGTGTAAAAAATTAAAATAAATTATCACATCAGTCCCTAAGAAAACTAACTAGGGCAGACTTAGCTGGAAATCACTAGGACACAGACCTGGCGATAAAGCATTATCTGAGCACCTACCTGTCCAAGAGGCCTCAGGGTTGCCTCCTTACAAAGCTGGATGAAGTGCATGAGACAGACAGACTTGTACTTCCAGACCTTGCCCATAACCATGGAGAACATAGTTTGCAAATGGAGGCACCTGCCGGGAGATAAGTGAATTCTAGATTTATGGGGAAAGCCAACTTGATGCCGTAAGCAAAAATCTTCAGACAAGCAAGACAGTAAATTTCTCATGCTCTAAGTGATGTGATAGCCACAGTGCAGCTACTAAATGCCTTCTAAAAGCATTAACAATTACATTCTGTGTAACTTTATTTCTTAGCTTATTAATCAAAGGTATACCCTTAACCATACTTTAGAGCTCAAGAGGTAAGAGTAAGGTAAACAGATGTCATTAAATGGATATGAAGTATTCATCAGAAGCCCAATGCTTCAGGTCACTCTCATGCCTTTTTTGAGAATGCCAAACCTGATTTATATTCCAATACCATTCAGTGTGTGAGAGGAGACCTATGATCAGCTCAAAGGAGCGTGGCACGTCAGAAGAAAGTGCAGGTAAGACAATACGTTCTTTACAAGTATAGTGAAAACCCTAAAAATTCACCATACTTGGTAATGGCCCTCACTGAACTGGACTGTAACAGGTGACAGAGGGTCCCTCCACCAGAAACAGCCAGGACAAGCCACCTGAGAGCTGGGATACGGTAAAGCTGATGCTCAGTTTGGCAAGAACCTTGTTCAACATGGGAGCAAATCATGAATCCAACCTGCTAAATGCCAATTTAGCTTTTTAAAAGGAAGCATTAACAAATACATTTAGTGTAATTTTATTGCTTAGCTTATTAACCAGGGGCATACCCCTGTGTCCAAAAATAAGTCCACATAAGTGCCACCAGAAGTGACTCCAATCTTTGTCACATCCCAAACACCCACCCTGGCAAGTCTGGAACTGCAGCACCTCCCTTCCATTTTCAAGAATTAAAAGAGACAAACTGAATTTCCTAACTTCTTAAAGATCCTCCTACAAACAATTTTATTATAAATATTTTCTCTTGGAATAAACACTGTATTCAGCACTATTCGCCAACTTGTTCTAAAGCAATAGAGAAAACATGGAATCAAGAACCATTTAGAAATCAAGATAAATAGCAAAGACACCTGAGTGCCATGCTAAGTGTCTTTCTAGAAAAATAAAATAAACCCAGAAACTTAAACAGGAACACCCATCCCCACTAGCCTGTTGGATGAAAACAATGAGTTTGGTAATCGCTCCTGTTCTGTAAACTGAACTGCTCCTCTCCTCAGTCCGAGGAGCAGACGGGAAGGCAGTAAGTCTTCAGATTCCAAGCATCAAGGAAGATCTTGACTGTGTGTCTGCAACTTTGTTTAATGATAAAAATATTCCCTATTTCCCAGGGGTAATGTCCGAGTAATCCTTCAGCACTCCAGCCAAGTGTTCATTGTGAGTCTTAAACCGCCGCTTTTTCTGTGAAGCAGGCTTTTTCCTTCTCTGAATAGAGGCCTGCAGGACAAGATAAAAACAGGTAAATACAATAGTGACCCCAGGTGACAGATGCTTCGGATTTACTCAACTAGGCCCAGAGACCAGCAGCAAAAACGAAGGGTTTTGAGCCTTTTCTTTGTTCCTGCTTGGAGGTTGGGCTCACAAAGCCCATTCACAGCACATACCCAGCCTCCAACTAGACCTGGTACCTTCTGATACCACAGGGCATAAACCTCCATTGGAAATAAATAGGCAGGCACAAAGCTTAACACAACTATGTAACTCAATAGAGAGGCAGTAACTTTCTGTGCTTTGTCTCCATAAGAGGCCATTGCTACTACACTTGACAGAAAGCAGGACAAAAAGCAGCTAACAGTTCCGAGAAGGGACTACACTGCTCTTCTCAAGATTACATACCACTTTCTTTGGTCCAGATTCCTGCATAGAAGAAATACCCTGTCGCTTCAGATACTCTTCAATTTTCTCTTCATCCATTGAATCCACAGTGACACTCCTCCACAGTTTCTGGAATTCTATACAGACAAGACAGTAGTTATTTTACCATGGACAGTAGTTATTCTACCATAGCATCTTGGTGATCAGAGTTCACCTTGAACATTATCTCCTCTGAGCCTAAATTAGCACATCTGAGATTTCACTAAAAAAACAAATACCTTAAACCTGAGCACTTGGGAGGCAGAACAGGCTGACCTTTGTGAGTTCAAGGCCAGCTGGCCTTAACATAGCAAGTTCCAGGCAGACGAGAGTATATAGTGAGATATCGTCTCAAAAAAGAAAGAATGAAAGAGACAGAGAAAAAAGACGGAGACAGAAAGAGGAAAATAAAAACAGCAAGAGCATTCAAGTACTGGATGCAGCACCAGCCAGGCCTGTGACCTGGAAGGCAGCAGGACAGAGCTGCCAGAGTGCTCTATTTTTCATTAGTTAGAGAAGGGTGCTATGGCTGAAGCTTCTCCCATCTTCCAGGGGAAATGAGGCAGTTAACACTCCTTTATTCTGCAAATCACTTCCTTCCTCTGTGTGCAAATACTTCAATTACTGGCTCAAGACCCCGAGCTCAATGTACTCTGCCTCTCCACTGATAGAAACACTCAAGGGGATGGGTCCCAAAACCTCCTATTAGGTGTAAACAACTTATTTGTAGAAAACACTTTGAAATCTGCTAACCAAGACACTCATGAGTAACAAAAAGGAAAAAAAAAAGGGTAGGTTAACACTTCCTATATGAAATAAAAAAAGACAGGTGGCTAGCCTACATATCTCATTCCCATACAGGACATATACAAAACAAAAATCCTTTGCCCTATAATAAAGCTGCTCCTAAAGACAGCTTTAATAACCAAGCTTCATAACAGCCCTGACAGCCTTTCACACAAGCACACATACACACACACAAAACCAGTGATGACAAAGTCTTATGGTGTGCACTTTTGGAACTGAGAGAGGAAAAAGCTCCTTCCTGAATGTTGAATCAGTTCACTAGGCTTCTTGTTTACCACAGCCTCTGAGGCTACAGGCCTGACTAACCAGCCAACCCCTAACCAACATACCTCTTTCTCCCTTGTCATTCCATTTACCTTCCTGTAGGCTGTCACTCATTTCCTTTGCAGGCTACATGGGGGCTCAGAGATCAAGAGGACCCATGATTTGATTCCTAGCACCCTCCCACATGGCAGCTTACAAGGCTCTGATGCCCTTCTGGCCTCCACTGCCCTGCTTACATGTGGTGCACAAACATAAATGCAGGCCAAATACTCATGCACATAAAATAATAATAGTAATAATTTTTTCAAACTCTTTCAATCTAAAACAAGCAAATAAACAAACAGTAACTAAGGCTATGCCCATGTGAATACACACATGAGACTACTGCATTATCTCAAGAGTCAGAATTCATACAGCCTGGCTACTGTTTGGAGTGCTCCCTCACCTTCAGCATGTGATACCCTACACCACTCCAGAACTCTACCAGGAAGAAGGCCACTAGAGAAGCCTCTTTATAACTCACTCAGTCCATGACACTTAACAAAGACTAGGACAGCAATCCTAAACTAAAAGGAACAGAGTTGAAAGCAACAAACAAGACCACAAACCACATTACAAAGCAACAGTAATCAAAGCAGCATAAAAAATACAGAAAATGTCAAACTACAAAACAGAATATAGAGTACAGAAAAAAATATCTTAACATCAGTTAAAATAAATATCTCGGTTGATTTTCAGTAAAGATGTAAAAGCAGAAAACGGAACAAAGAAAGTCCTAATAACATGTCTTGGGCTTGGGGAGTAAAAGTGGATATGGAGACTGCTCAGCAGTTCAGAGCACCACCTGCTCTTGCAGAGAAGCCTGGCTGGTTTCCTCCGCACCCACACGGTGGCTTACTCACAACCATCTCTTCACTCCAGATTCAGGTTAGGCCCTTTTCTGGCCTCTGTGGGTACCAGGCACATAAGTGCATACAGATATACATGCAGGCAAAATACCCCCCCCACAATTTATATATATTATATTATTATAAATACTAGATATATTACTTATTACATATTATGTTATAAATATAATAATTAATATATAATTATGTTAATTGTCTTCATCTTCAGTGGTCAGCACTCTGAGTAAACCATGTCTGGTGTTTTCCTGTCTTTCATTTGTTTGGAAAAGGATGACTTATCTCATGTTCTTATGATTTATATCCATCCTAGTTTGGTGTCATTAATTCTGGAAAATTCTTGGCCACTGGTCTCAAATGTTTCTTCCATCATCTCCTTCAGACTTAAGTTATACATTAAGACCATCTGATATTGTCCTACAACTCTAGGATGCTGGGGGGTTTTTTGGTTTTTTTTTTACATTTTTTGTTTGCATTTCAGATTTAAATTTTCACCTGTTTATACCATGTTTATTGACATGTTTATTATTGAAGCCACTCTTCAGCTCTGCTACTACACTTTTCATAAGATTTTTCTTAGTTGAAATATTCTACTCCGTCATACAGCTGATCGGGCTTTTTCTACTACACAGCTCAGCATTATTTTAAATTCTATATCTAGTAGTTTAAATATCTGTGTCTTAAGAATTTGGTCCCATTAATGACCTGGTCTCATATTATTTTTCCTTAGTCTCTTTTTATGCCTTTTTTTTAAAGCAGGACATCCTCTGTGGGACAGTTGAAATCAGAGGTAAATAGTCTGTATGCCTGGAAATGGGAACGCCTTTCCTCTGCCAAGCCTGCAGACACTGAGTCAGGAAATGAGCTTGCTCAGCGAGCCCTTCTGCTATCGTTACCAATGATGAACCACTAGCTTCTAATTCCGTAAGCCACTCCTTGTGTTCATGACAGGGACTGGTTTGCCAGAAGTATTTTTCGGTGGCTGCTGAACTCCAGTCTTGGGTTTACCTGTTACACCATCTCTCCTATAGTCTGCCTGCATGCTCGGGAACTCTCAAGGAACTCCACTGTTACACTGCTCCACTGTTGGTGTCCTCCATGAGGGGAGGGCTGGGACTTCTCAGGCATTCTCATTATGCCTCAGTTTTAGGCAATGTTCTGGAATGGTCTTCTCTGTGCTACTCTTTTCCCTAGCATTAGGAACTCGGCATACATTCTTGTTCCTCCCTCATGAAGAGGAGGTTTCCTTGTGACTTCCTTCCCATACAACGCTTAAGTCTAATAGGAAAGAAAAAAGGAAGCAAGCTCTGAGAACAATGGTACAGTTCTATAATCCCAAGAACTAGAGAGACTAAGGCAAGAGGATTCTCAGATCAAGACCAACCTAGGCTATTTAAAAATACGTAAATAAATAAATAAATTTATAAATGTACAATAAATATCTGTCTAAAAATAAATAATAATCCAGGCACGGATTCCTCCACTGGCTACTGTCCCTTTCCTCCAAGACTATCCAATGAAGGAAGGTACTTTCCCAGTACTTCCATACTAGCTTCAACCTTCACTATTAAGAATCTGATGGAGTCTACAGAGAAAGGCTTGAAGGGGTGTAATCTGTACGCCTGAATCCACACATGATCCCTGAGATCGATCTCTTCATACTAATCTGTATTAGGTCTTTAGCAATACTTTTAAACTTTCAACTGCATTCTTTTGATTGGTGCCCATTCTGTCTGTCTCAGGTAAGCAAGTATTCATATACCATCTTTTCTTGGAATACCTGTTCTTACACTATAAATCAGATGGCTGTTCTGTAACCTCGGCTCCCTGACAGACTAACAATGGCCTAAATTTTCAGATTCCTGGCACTGGCATAAGGGTAGGAATATGTCTAACTTTCTAAGGGGGAACTAGAAATTCCCAACAATCTAACAGCCAGTTTTGGTTCTGAAGATTTGGTTTTTTTTAATTATGAGTTTATGTGTGTATGTGCATTTATGTGCATGCATGTATAGATTTGTGCATATTTGCATGGATTTGCATGCATACATGCATGGATTATCTTGCAGAATCCAGAAGAGGGTATCTAATCCCCTGAAACTGGAGTCATAGGCATTTTGGAGGCACCTGCTGGGGGGTACTGGGAACTCAACTTGGTCCTCTGCAAGAGCAATAGGTGCTCTTCACCACTGAGTCCTCTCTTCAGCCCCTAAGAGCCAAACTTTAAGACAGTGTGATGATTCTACCTACATCAAGATGAATATATATCATTTACTACAAGTACCTACGAAAGAAAGTAATGTCAGGTCAAACCTCCACCTCAGCAATGAAACCATCTTCATATTCCAATAAAACACACAAAATAGCTTTTAAATTTTGCCACTGTTACTTTATTATTACTTCAGTTGTTATAGGAAGCATACTTCGCAAAATAATAGTTCTGCCATTAGACCATTTATTTTCTTTCTTCTAGTTTACCAATATATGAAAACTGTTTACTGAGAATAAATACTATATTTTGGGGATATTAATCCAAATGCATACATCTATATTTAAAAAAAGAAAAAATAATAAAAATATCATTTTTCATTGGTTAATCTCATTCAAGAGGCTTCCATTGGTGACACTGTAAAATTTCAATTCTCCGAAAACAAACTACTTACTCTGCCTTTTTATTTGATGTGTGCAAAAGCTTGTATGCTGCCAGGGGTGGTGGTGCAGGTCTTTAATCCCAGTACTTGGAAGGCAGAGGCAGTTGTATCTATCTCTGTGTGTTCAAGGCCAGCCTGGTCTACAGAGTGAGTTCCAGGACAGCCAGGGTTACAAAGAGAAACCATCTCAAACAACAATAAAAAGCTTGCATGCTAAAGACTTTTTATGGCTCAGTCATAGTATAAGTGTAAGCCAAATAAACCCTTTTTCCCCAACTTGCTTTGGTCATGGTGTTTCATCATAGCAATAGTAACCCAAACTAAGATATACACTGAAAGTTTTCATGCATTAAAACAAAACTTAACTACTCCCCCTTTCTAAAAAGACATTCTATTACATTATTTTCAAAGAAAAATTCCTGACTTCTTTGTGCTCATTTATGCACTTCTTTGGGGGTGGGGGGTAGGGGG